CAGTCACCGGAAATTTCGTCCGCATTCCGTAGTCGACAGTGTGCCGTGCAGTCGGAAAAGTTACGCTACTCCTCGCAAAGCACCCGTACGCGATGCTGGTGCTCTTTCCGCAGCCGGCGGACTGTTATGAAGTGGCTGAGTTCCCTTGCGTTACAGGTTGTGTCGACTACACACACGTGCGTATTAATAGCCCCGGTGTCGACGACGCCGAAGTGTTCCGTAACCGCAAAGGCTATTTGTGTTTTTCTATAACACGACGACACTTTCCGTCTCTTTCGGTAAAAAAAAAAATGACTCGGTGCTGTCTCCGTGTGCCTCGTCTATCCTTTCGTCCCGTCTAGGGCGCTGTTTCTCGCTCATAAAGGCATCGCTTGTAGCACAACGCTACGTAAAATTACACACACATATAAAAGAGGTGCTTCTATTACGTGTTTTTTTATCCGCGTCACCATAATGCAGCGATACATTGCTGCACCCCGCGAGACAGAATTCTGCTAAGGGCAATGTCCTGACCCCCGCTTTTACTCTTGTTTACAAAGCTCAACAAAAGGATACGAATCACATTTGTTCCCAGAACTTGTTTTTTTTTTCATAATAACTGAGACCTAGCCATTACAGGCATGCACACAGGTGAACAGAAAGGCAAATACCGTGAAAATCGCGTCACCTCGTGAGCCAGGTCAGCACAAATACATGCCATGGCGTTCGATTGAGAAAAAAAAAACGACGAAAGAACCCAACGCGATGCTTGTTTCTCCTCCAAACAAGCAACCGTGGAGAAACGCACCGCATTTGGGTGGCCACTAAAACCAGCGGGCAACGAACGCTTTACAGAAGCAACACTGCGCATCGCTGTGGTGGCAGGCGCCACGTGCCGCTCGTTCGCCGTAAAATGACAAGAACATGCTTGTGGCCCTTAGTTTTTATAGTTATTTTAAAACGTATGGTCTTTTTTTGGTGTAATGCATGCCTTACGCGAACAACTTCATTATTAGCCTCGTTAGCAGGCGAGCAGCGTGTTTCTGCTTTGAAGCTCGTTCTTGACTTGACCAAGCAAGACAGCCTGAGCATTTATGAAACGCGAAGGCCGACTTGAGCGTTTTCAAGTCTGCTGCTTGCTTCGCGCCGACTTGCTCAAGTTAAGTCGAAGACGCGGCCAAGTAACATCTCTGCATTCGGGGGTAAATGTGGACCCCTACCTGACAGCGTGGCCATTAAGAAAAGCTTCTTCGCCGCCACTTCGTCCCTTACAAAGTCGTACGACGTCTCAGCGACCTCACTTACGAGGTTCTCCAAGAAGGTGCTTCGAGACGTTCCCGTTTCAGCACGCGAACTGAAGTCGTTCACGTTTCACGGCTGAAACCATACTTTTCGCGCTGTGAATCGCCAGTGAGTGAGTGACTTTATTCGTCTCTCCCTTATAATCTTTCCTATTTTTCTTATTTTACATTTAACTCTTGTCTCCACAACCAACTATGTTATTCCGCCTTACGCCATTCATTTTGCTTGCATGGTAATTTTCGTCTCATTTTCTTTTTTTTTTTGCCTCCATGTACAGCATCGAGACGATGCTTCTTGGGAGAGGGGGTAATGCCACCATTGATGAACGAGCCGCTGTGGCTCATACTTGTTTTGGGCTGCGAAGAAAAAGGGAACATTTTCGTGTCTCTGGTTCAGGTGAACTCCTGGCTGTAGGTCTTGTTTTGCTCGTGACAATATTTGAACTACAACTCCATGAACACAGCGGGGGGGGGGGGGCGTGTTGGATTGCTGGCGCAGTGACGACGACGATGTCAACATTGGCGTGACGGGGGCCACGAACTAAAGGCATTTAGTTTTTTTCATTCGATATACCAGCATCCTTCTTGGCTATCTGTCCACTACAGGCGCATTCAATGATCCACTCGATTCACATTTCGCATTGTATGACACCAGGCTGTTATTTTACTCTTTTACGACGCTAATCCCATCTTATCACGATTCCTCTCCCGACATAACCCCTGTGTAGGGCCTTTGTGTAGAAGCATTTTCAAGCAGCAGCGTCACTCTGTGATAAATGACTGCGACCGCCATGCACCGCCTTCCTAAAGAATTTTCACCATTTAACTTCAATGCTATAGCAATTATATGTAAACTGTCGGCGAATTTTTGTCTCCATTGTCGTCATGCCCCGCATATTATTATATGGTGATATAAATAAATGCCAGAAAAAAAAACAGGCAACAAAAATTTCAAAGCGGGTCTCCCGCATAAAGACCTGGGACCTCCTTCTGCAGGCTGATGCGTTATAGCACTCGGCTTCGTGCCACTCGGTCATTGAAATGCTAATGGCGTGCGTTTACCACCGGTGGTGTGCAGATCATAGAGGCGCTTCACCGATGGTGCGCAGGGCGTGCTTTCAAGCAGTGCTCCTGATGTTGTTTCAACTGCTCTTGAGACTTGCACTGAAATTTCTGTACCGATTCGCGATGTGGAACGCCGGGCAAGCAGTGACTTGCCCCCACACGTCACAGGAGGCACAGAGGAGTCACTCCACACGCTGCAGAGTGTTCAGCCTCGCCGCGGTGGTCTAGTGGCTAAGGCACTCGGCTGCTGACCTACAGGTCGCGGGATCAAATTCCGGCTGTGGCGGCTGCATTTCCGATGGAGGCAGAAATGTAGGCCCGTGTGCTCAGATTTGGGTGCACGTTAAAGAACCACAGGTGGTCAAAATTTCCGTAACCCTCCACTGCGGCGTCTCTCATAATCATATAGTTGTTTTTGGGACGTTAAACCTCACATGTCAATCTAATCAACGCAGAGTGTTCAACAAGAAGGCGCTGGCGTAGCCAATAGTAGCAGCGCATTTATTGAAGAGTTTACTGTTTACACCTTTGCGTTATTTTTCGAATGCCCTTCTTTGTGCTTGAGCAGCATGGCGAGTGGGTCAAGCTTTGGCAGTTGACAGTTCAGGCTCTCCCTGAACGTGTTTTTTTCGTGCGTACTTTGCGAGTGAGCAACGCTCCACAAGTATCGAACGACTTTTTGTTTATCATGTGACCCCACAATTTGTTGCTAGTGCCTTCATCACTTCTCCCTTGTGGCGAAACTGCAACACATTTTTTTTTAATTTATCGGGATAGCGGTTATGGACACCAGTGATGGCGTATAACTACGGCACCGAAATCGACTCGTTTTGTGACGTCGTAACAGCTTTTGCTGTAATATATAGGGGCCTCAAACACCGTAGCAGGCCGAGCCATGGCCGAAAGATCCGAAAGGCTAGTTCAGTGGTGATTGGAAGCAAAAAATAACAGCCATGAATAACAGCTACGAATAACGGCTATGGTATTTTTAACCCAAGTTTATGCCATCTCTTCAACATGGAAAGGCGATGTTGAGGACAGGAAACCTTACTTGCTTTTAGAAGTGCTATGTTCCTGATTAGGTGCGTGAGCGTTATATCACAGAAGCTTTCACCAACATGAACGTTTATCAGTGGCCCTGATTATTGTTTTCAGTTTCATGCTGGTGGTTTCCGAGTGTTTATTCGTAGCAGAAGCAAGCAATGAACAGTCCAAAATCAGCGCAATTACTACTGTGGGGTCGTTCTTGCTGGCCCTTTTTTTTTTTCGTGTCACTTCATAAATTAGACTGAAAGAAGGTGCACTTCACGAAAATGCACGACTTTGCTTATGCCTACACTTGCCATTGCAGTTTCTTGTGTTCGTGTATTCGTGATGTTGCTATTTATTTGTATTTATTCTGGTCGCATGATTTTACATACGAAGTGTGGTTCACCCAATTGCTCCCTTGTGGTTAGACTTTGGTAAGGTGAACGACCCGCTTCATGCCTTAAGGTGTTGCTCGTATCTCACTGTTTGATGGTGTTGTACTTAGATCATAGCACAGTTTGCCAGTCCATACAATTTTTACATACTTATGCTTGTGGTTGAAGTTTAGTGACTGGTTATGTATTCATTTGGTTGTAGTAATGCGTTATTTTGTACAGTTATTTTATTTGGAAAATGTAATATGTTTTAATGCTGCCATATTGCAAAGGGCCTCTGAGATGGCTCACGTTTCTCGCCTCTGGATAGTTGCTTCTTTCTTAACTAGTGACGAGGTCGAGCAAGGCACAATTGGCAGAGGGTACTATTCTTGTGTATTTATTCCCCATGCCCATTTAGTGGCCAATTGTATTCATTGTACTGGTATTACTAATTTTTACGCTGCTTCACTTACAGTGAATTTCATGATTTTAGAATGAGTCATTCATTCTCCTGTATACTTGCAAATATGACATCTTTCACAAGCTTTTCCTGTACACCAGAAAAACGTCTTGGTAAACTGGAAGTTTAGAAAGCCTAATTTTATACCATTTTTTCTTTGCTTATCTGTCTAACATTGACGTTAACTACAGAATGCTGCATGACATTTTAGTAAACTACTATTCGCGATCATCACATTTATCGAATTCGATTAACATGACCTATATATTTACTGATATTTATTAATACTATCTCACCGTAGTATTCACCGTTCGTATCTAGTTTATTCATTATCGATGTAGCATCATTTGGTGGGCGAAAGGACAAAAACTGGTGCTTTTCAGAATTTTCATATTTGTTGCCTACGAAAAAGTGCGTGAGTCAACATAAAACGAAGCTTCACTGCTATTCTGTATTAGTTAGAAATGCCAAAAACTTGTGAAAAACAAAAAAAGAAGAGAAAAGTAGGCATAGTGCAATGAACTCTTGGTCAATTACCAATAAAATCCGTGTTATCTGAAAGCAGGAAAGCTAATGAAATGACAGAAAAAGTAGATGTTGAAACATAACGTCAATTTCACAGAAATGATGTGTTCATTCCGAAAAAACAAACAAACAAGTGAATGGACAAAGCATGTACAAAGAAAAAAGCACGGTAAAGCGGAAATTTTTAGGCAGACCAGCAATAAAGCTCACACGCACCCACTAAGGCAGAGCAGCTGCCATGAAACTCTTACCTTTCCAAAAACGTTTTACGGCACAGCATGTCACTCTTTATTAGCTGAAAATTAATCTTGCAGAACTTCTGCCCTATTCAGCAAGGCAAAAGACGTAACACTCTGACAGCGAGCTAAAACCAACACCATCGCACCCTGTGACCGAAATATTGTAGCAGGAGTTGTCACTATAATTCGCCATCCAGACAGCTCGACGATCACTACCTCTATTACGTTGGCATTTACGTTCAGTGTCCGTGCATTTTGACCAAGAAGAGTCACTGTCTGTTGCTGAGCCTGTAATGAGTCCTGAAAAAAATTACAAAAGTGGAATTATGAAACGCGTATGGCAGTTGTACACGGTTTCCTTACCCATACCTGTGTGAATAGACGGGGGGAGAGGAAGAGGTGAGAGGTGCGTATAATGCCTCAGTATGCCGGGTGTGGGGTGGTGCGAGAACATTCGATTCCCCTCACCCACTGAACGGGAGCACATGCTCGTGTTTTACTTTATAAACATTCATTGTATAATAACGTCTCGGACGAAAAACCTGGCCGATAAAAATACACGCCACAGAAAGACATTCAAAAAAAGAATGAAACGCATCTATTCGAATGTCAAGCGTATGCCCATGAGCGTGGTCTCTCGGAGCATCGCAAGCTTTTCATCACACAGAGAGCTTTATCAATTGACTGAGTCTTATGGCTGTAGGCCGATCTCCCGCAACAGAGGCGTGCAACAAACGTACGTTTTCAACATCTAGGTATCATGTTTAAGGTAGATTTATTTTAGTTAAGCCTTGCATGCGCATTGTGTATCATGGTAGGTGTCCACTGAAGTTTCAGAAAATTTTTTTCTTTTCTAATGCGCTAGTGTTTAAAAGCTCCTTTTGCTGAAATTTCGATGTGAGTGTCGGTGTCGCCAGTTGTGGACAAAAATTATCTTGTGTATGGCCGAAAAGCATAGAAACACGCAAATAAAATATTACCCAAATTTTTGGAGTACGAGTGAGGATCGAAACCACACCGTATGAGTGGAAGGCTGGTGTTATATAACACAGCCACGCGTCAGCTTGAAATTAAGTGAAAATAAGTGCCTCTGTTTGAAAATGCCGCGATAATAGCTCGTGCTTTAGAAGCACAGGCGCCCTGTATGCAGGCTTCACCATACAACAAATAATATTGCAGCAATGTTGCTTCTTATAAGCGGACATGGCCCTGGGGGTTCAGAGCATGTGTATACAATGACGACATTATGGGTGAAATTCAGCCATACATTATAAAAGTCACACACGTTATATGGCCCTTAAGACCACGCCATGGGTGCACGGCAAATTGGAAAATTTTTCACGTGCATAATTGTTCGTGGTTGCTACCCACTCCGCAGAATGCAGGACTATGCAAAAAGCTTCACTGACAGAAGCCACATTAAATATTATCAATAACAGTGTAGTAATCCACAATTTTGTCTTCACGGGCAACATCATACAATAAAAAGGCCCCCGCATTCCTGAAGGGAATCGTGAGAAAACGCGAATGCATTTCTTGCGCCGAGAGAGAGAGAGAGAGAGAGAGTACTATGGCCGTCAGTCATTCGCCTTCACCGACTTTTACCACCGCCTTGTTCTTGAGAGGCACCCAGCCAGTGAACGGTCGAGAGTTAGGAGCGAGTGGATGGGAGAGTGTAGCGCCAACGTTCTCGGTTCGTTCTCGGCACAGTGGCGTCTCGAGCCTATATTTCTGAATGTTTTTTAGAGGCACCTAGCCAGTGATTTGTTGAGAGTGAGGCGTGAGCGTACAGGAGAGTGAGTCACTTGGAGAAGAGAGAGCTACCGGTGAAACAAGGAGCGGCGAAGCACTGCACCTACGCTTTCCTACACTTTCGCACCACATGCTCCGGTTGCTAGGGGGTGACAACAAGTGCGCGTATCCACAGCTGTTGCTAGGAAAGATGGAGTGAGAGTGGAGAAATAATACCTGCTGTTGTGACCGGGGTTTGCAGGCACCCAAGGTCCGGGATGAGGTTGTCGAGGCAGCGGGAAAGATAGACGCAGAATGTAGCGGGCAGAATGTAGATAGACGCGGACGTAGCGGGAAAGATACACGCAGAATGAAGCGGAAGTGTACATGGTTGTTCATTTTCTCTTCCAGTCACATAAACAACAGGAACTTATTCGGTCAGAGATCGTATTAATATATCCTTGAATATCGTGAGGGCAATAAAGGGTCTCAAAGGCTGGGGCGTGTCTTTGACATTATTCAATACTCGCTAGAGCCCTGACAGTGGAGCAAATACACTTAAACTCTCTCAAAACGCTGCTAATCGTTTTCTCCGAACTTCTATGTTGCATCGCTATATTGTTGTGTCTCCATATTGCTGCGTTAAGTCTGTTGAACGGAGCCTTGAACATCGGTTTACCACTCTTTCGCATGAGCTTTTCTTTGTGCTTCTTCTAACAACCCACAAATCATAAGGTTTAGGTCCGTGGCAGAAAAATGTGCACGCAGGTAGATGAAGTATGGCGGCCGCAGATGTTTTGTTCGCTAGCGTATCGTTAAATGTGTTTCCTGATCAGTGATCACTCGCGGTAACGATTCCAATCAGTTACCTTGCTGCACTTAGATGCCACCACATGGTAGTTAGCCACATCATTAAATAAATACAGGAAAATGATCACTTCCCATTGTGTATGTAGCTGTACAACACGTGAGTTCATCTTTATTTGGTTGCCAAATTAGATCAATATTACTTGTACACCCTGAGGGCATAAAGAAGGTTACATTGCCATCATTCGCAACCCATAGGTGTAGCTTATCAAGAGCACTTTACAGACAATGTCCATATGCATCCTAACTCTGCCCCCCTCCCCCCCTATGTGTGAAAAGCACTGAAATTGTCACAATTGATCCGCGGAGCTGGGCAACGATGACACAAATCTAAAAACATCAGACAAGAGGCAGTTGTGGTGACAACTAGCCGTAAAAACAGTGCGTATCAAAACTCTGCTCCCGCAGCTTCCCTTCATGACCTCTGCTGAAGCGCAGAATGCTTGACCTTTTATGATATGATAGCTCAAAGAAGCTGACAGCTTGATGAAGTCTCCTCAGGCAGAGAAGAAAACATTGAGGGTGATCAGTGACGAGAAGCTTAAAAGGCAATGCTTTGAGATCATCATCAGAGATACATTCTCATCTAGCTGACGCGTTGAATGTAAAAAAAAAAGAACACTAGCCTGTGGAGGGAACAAATGTTTAAACAGAATATTTGCTTTCGTTGTTGTCAGTAGTTTTTGTGATAGCTCATTGCGTTAGCCCTAGTTATACATTGTTGTTGTAAGCTTGAAATATCGCTATAATATTGAGGTCGTTTTAGTTAGGCCTACTTTGACATTGGGGCATCTCCCTGAAGATTTTAGTTTGATTATCGCTTTGAGCTGTACGAACAATTGCGTCAGCATCTAAGAATGTACCATCGGCTGAACTTTTCAGAAACCTCCATATGATGCCTTTTATTATGGTTAGGCGATTCGAAATCGCAGTACTAGTGTACAAAATAATGAATAATAGCGTACCCTTCCACGCATCAATCTTCCTCGTATGCGGGTATGTGCCGAAGGTGATTGACAGTATCTACGCAGGAATGACGAGAACACACATCGGTAATTTAAACACATGTGTCAGTCACTTTTGACACATACCCGCATACCGGTGGCATATACCCACAAGAAGGTATGTGCCACTGTTTGGTGCGATGTGTTTGACGACGTTACGTGCTGTGATGGTGACATTCTTCATGTCTTGACTAGCGCGTCATATTCGTCAAACCATCTTACACTCCCAATATAGTTTAGGTTCACGACAAGGGGGTGATCACGAGAGCACGCAGACGTAAGCATCTACATAGATAGATAGATAGATAGATAGATAGATAGATAGATAGATAGATAGATAGATAGATAGATAGATAGATAGATAGATAGATAGATAGATAGATAGACGTAGAAAGATGCTAAAAGTTCTTGTACTAAAAATGCTTCACATTTAATAGCTCACATCGCCAAACATTTTACCTTCTCTTATTAGGCCGCTATAGTTCATGGTCAATCTCATATTTTTACACAGCCAACCGAGCTCAACCACATGCAACCAGCCCCGCACGTCTGTCACTTGTAACACGTTCGCACCAGATCGGCTGCCTGATGCCAGTACAGCGTCTATTTTTTAAACCACTGTCGTTTAACCTTTCATAACAAGCTTACTTGAGCACAATTCTTCTGCGTTGCATGATGCGGTACACGGGTCATGTTTTAGTATGCGGGAACTATTTATCTGCCACATAAGTGCAATTTATACCAAGAGCTGTGCAAATAGCAAACATTTGAGTGTGAGGTGATTTCGAATATTGAAATGTGATGGCTAATCAAATCAAATATTTTTTTGAATATTTCAAGAATATGTTTCGAAGTTCCATGCGAAACTGAGAAAAAAGTTGTAGAGGCTTTGTAAGCATATTTTCATAAAATATAGCAACGTTAAAGTACGTCTTTTTGCCAATTTGATGAAGCGATGGTGAGTGTATTTCACTGTTGTTTTCTCAAACTTGAGGCAATACATACGCGCATTGTATTAGCAAATGATTTCGTGCAACCAAAGTGTTGCCGACAACACTACACGTGAAAGGCTAAAATTCTATTTGCTTAGCCTCTCTTCTACCAACTTCTGCTGAAGCAAAACATATGTGGCAGACAAAAATGTGTTCCGATTGAGTAAGGAGTTGGAAATCTGCCTCGTGTATGTCAACAAACGAGAATTTGAAATTTTGATGGGTAAAAATCTTCAGTTTACAATTTTTCGTACTTCCTGCCCAAACTTGAGGTACAAAACAGCACTGAGCCCCTACCTCTACCACACCAATCATCTCCATGTTAGAAAAAGCGTTTTCTTGATTCAATGAACTTGCGACTGTAGCGAATTTTGAAAGACAGCTTTGCCGCAGGACGGGAATGTGGTGATAAGAAGCATACTTCGGGTTTGAAAAGGTCACTTCCAATAGGACGTTGACTGCATTTGTCTTTCGGAAGATCGAATAGTAAAAATTCCTGTGCGAATTGAATCGAATATATCGAAAAACATTCAAAACCTCGAATATTCACATTCCTCTATTTATAATATAGTGCCTTCTACATATTGACGACCAGCCGTAGGGCAACTTTTACAAGTTTAAACGACTAGAGAAAACATTTACCATGCCTGCGCACTAGAAAACCCTAATTAACTTACCCTATAAGAGATTCAAATAACGCAGACACCATCCCGGCTAAGTAAAAGCTAACCAGAAGAGGCTAACCAGAAGTTATCCTGTCTACTGACTTCTGTTGACTTGGCACACGCAGCAGATGTCTTAGGTGTACCATGCAAGCGCTGTGGGCGCTCGTTTGATTGGGCGCCATTTAATGGCCATTCACACCATAGACCCGAAGCTGTTTCGAAACCAGCTTGTTCGCAAGATACCGATTTTAAATGCATGTAAATAATCGACTTTGAGCAAAAAAGACAGTTCCATGTCAGTCGCTAATTGCTTAGCAATCGACTTGAGCGAATGGTCTTGCGGTTTTTGTGCATTTTTTTGGCGGTTTGTACACGCGACTCTTCCAATTACTGCTCATCATGTCATTGCCCCAGACCGAAAACAGCTGAAATAGGAGACCGTAATAAGAGAACTGGGAACCGTTCAGAACGAGTGACTAGATCCCAGTAAAAATAGAAAAACCGTGAATTATTATCAAACTGGTAATTTAAGAAATACAATTTTTCCCCTTAAAAACTTGAATTAGGTACTTGCCAACTTCGCACATAATTTTCTGGCCTAGTCGCAAAGATTTTGAAACCAATTAGATCACTCATACATAATTAATCAACAAAACATTCTGAATGTCCTTTTATTATTAATTTCAGGGTGGTTGCTTATATAGCGAAGTCCTTCTAGACCACAAATTACGACGGGTCTAGTTTTTGAAAGTCGAAAATATCGTGCGTAGTGTCAGAGATCCATCGTCTAATCTCCCGACAGCGATGCGGGAGGAACCACTACTGAACGCAGCAGGTGCACCGAAAGGGCGCCGCTTGTGCTGCGTGACGCGCGAACTTCCCTTTACGCACGTCGGCCTCCTTGTCGTATGCGTTCACATTCTCGCATTTTGCGCATCGCACTGAAGCCTTTCCAGTTCCAGCACTCATAAATCTAATTCATGCCCTCGCGTGAGGGGCTGAACCCACAGCTGGTACCATGCCAGGGGACAGGACACCGGCCATCGCGAGTATAAGACCAAAAAGGCTCTCGCCTTAATATTGAAGTCCTGCACCATTCAAAAGTTGAAATGAGAAATAATCAGATAACCACCGCCCATCACGCGCGAAGAATCATTCGTCGGAACGCTATGCTAGGACGACACAATGCTTCTCGCGGTGCGAGGTTCTCACGCGACGTGCCATCATTCGAATTACGTAAGAAGCTCGTGCATGACGCAGCACATGGACTCTCGGTGCATCTGGTGCGTTCAGTTTATGTTTCTTTGACGTAGTGGTTCAGAAACTAAACTGTGGATCTCCGAAACTACGCCCAATATTTTTGTTTATCAAAAACTTGGCTCGTCATAATTTGTGGCGTAAAACAACTTCGCCTGACAAAGAACCACCCTGACATTGACATGAAAAAAGGTAATAGAATTGTGTTTGTTAATTAATCATTTCTGAGTGATCAAATTAGAGACAAAGTATTCTCGCCTCATCCTAGAAATTGTCTACTAACACGGCAAGTTCCTAACTGTTGCAGTTTTTTAAGGAAAAATCTGTATTGCTTAAGAAATACACCATGTACAGTGACAGACACTAACGTTTTTTTTCTTTTTTAAGGAAATATTGTCTTTTAAATTGTGCATGAAAATCACAGAAACTATCACATGCACGTTGTTACTACGGGAAGAAATCGTTAGGATACTGAGGAAAAATGCACTTGGTTATTCTGCGTGGCGACGCTTACGCAAGCTGGCATGAAAGAACCAATCGCGAGGTATGCCGAAGCGGCGACTGACTTGTCACAGTTGGTGTGACAATCAATTATTTTTCATTTTTGTTCATATTGATCACAATCGATTGCCGCGCCTCTGCCAATCAGCAGTGTGGATGAGCCGTCACAGAAGCAGTGTATTCACAGACTATGTGATTAGCAATGACGAAGAGAATTGCACAAAAAGAGAACTAAGTGATATTCTTACCGATCGTCGAAAGGAGAAGTAGTATGAGAAGCGTTACCCTCATCGTCAGTTTTTCAGAAAACCGCGCAGAACGTCGCCGAGCTTTCCGGTGTAGAATGCACTTTATAGCGCGGGAATGTTCGCAGTAGAGACAAGTTGCACGCTGTAGGCGCCCGGTGGGGATCGATGCTGAGTACGATTCTGGTTTGGTGGCATTGGCCTTTTCCCCACATACACCTAAGAGTGAAGTGCGCCCTAAGCTGCGCTAGACATCGGTCGACAACTAAGCTAATCTAGTGTGGGCTACGTATACACTACTTTAAAACATTTCGTTTTAAAAAGTGCACATTCGTGACAGTTATGTCAGCCGCTTTTCTATGACTTTCCAAATGGCAACGTCTGTGATAGGCCCAGAAAGTCACGAATCCCATCAAAAGAAATACAAAGTAAAAATGAAAGAGTAGCAGATGTCCGGCATTTTACACAGACGCACATTGTAAAAAAGGGCATAGATAATCGAACTTTGTAGGCATACATGTGCACACACACAAAAAAACGTATCTGATTAAAATGTTCATTTGTGATTGTGTTAATAATAATATTATAGGGCGAAGGATGAAAGGTTATGTCCTGTCAGGTTATTTCCTTTTTTAACGTTTTCAAAAACTTAGCGATCGTGTTTTGAACACGAAATAATTGTAAAGACGAATCTTTTACGACGTGATATAGAAGTTTTCAACAATGAAGCTTCACAGTTTTCTTAAAATTAAGCTCCTCAAGACACATTGTCACAGGTCCCAATAATTAGGGAGGCGATCTCCGGGCTAATTCCAAGGGCCGAGGTATCGGCCACCCCAACTGCACCACGAAAGCGCGGACAATTTAGAAGAGGTCCTATTTGGCGCTCTAGCGGACGCCAGCTGTGGTCCAAAGAACGAGTCAGAGCCGAGAGTTGGTAACCAAAAGAAAATATATTCTCAGGTAAGGCATATCAAACAATACACAAGCATGTACACTCTGCAATAGTTCAGTACAATTTTTCACGAATCAAAAAATCGACTACCGAATACAATCAGCTACACTCGAAACAACGGACCCAAACAACAATATGTGCTACAATGCAATCACATGCGTCGAACAGCCAAGACACTGAAACATTGTAGATTTCGAAGACTTATTCATTCCAAAGTCCTTGGATCAAAGTCTGAATCATACTTTTCCAAGAATCACTCACTCAAAGTCCAGCACTGTTGTCAATCCGCTACCCCTGAAATGCCTTCTCAGAACACCTCGCGTCTTCACTTGGCCGCTCTCCATGCATCAAACTTCTTCGCCGGTAATACGTCAGCTCCCCACGCGTTGCAATTGCAGAACGCGTCTTCACTCTCTGGCGGTAGACACACTCTTCTTCTGCTGCTGGTAGCACCAGCCTTCACCCTTCAGGCGGAACTCCTTTTCATTACCTGCTTTGTCACTGACGACAAAAGACTTCGCCCACACGGCGAAATGACCCTACGCACACTTGCGCAAATTTTTCTTAATATCCTGCCTGCGCACGCGGGCGTAAACTTCCTTCTTCTCCTGCTTTGTCACTGAGGACAAAACCTTCGCCGACATGCCGGAAACACCCTACGCACACAGACGCAAACTATCTTCTTCTCCTGATCTCCCTTCTCCGCTGCTCGCTCAAGTAACTTTCGCGCTAGATTCCAGAAAATTCTAATCGTTTCATCGGCGCGATGCACAGCCAAGGCTGGAGAAAGGGCTAGATGTTTCGAGAGTCGTCTGCAACACGTGACACAACTCTGCATCGCCACGCCCTTTTTCTTCGAGAGCTTTCCGGGGCTTCCTTGGCCACCGATGTGAGGAGGTTGGTTGGCGAAATTACGCTTCCGAGGGGGGAGACGGCGCGCCAGCGCCGACCCTGAGGCGTCCCTCTGGCACCCGGAACCGTCACTGTCGCCAGAACTGGGCGGCGGGTGCTTTTTCGGAGTGCTAGTTTGTGACACAAGTCAAAACCACCTTTCATTATAACTTTATGTATCCAGGGGGACACAAAAGCGAGATGATAACTATCACAGTCCGCCACTGAATCAACTAAGATTAAGTAGTTTACTTTTCTCTCTCCTCGCTGTGCAGGGCCCACGCTGTTCCGAACAAGCTCCTAGCCGAGCCCTGCGGCACTGCACGCAATATACCCCGAACGGTTCTCAAGTGTGGATTGCCCCTTGTGTGGCGGTTATGCGGACTTCAAGCATGTCCTGTGGGTCTGTGCCTTTCCCTGTCCTCCTTTCCAATAAGAGGAAATGAACAAGCTGATTAAGGCCCAGGACCTCGCCTCTCAAATCCTGGCCACCCAGAGGGCCTACGCGAGAGGGGTCAGGTTTAAGCTGATCGTCCCTCAGTGGACCTAGCCAGGTGGCATTGAGTTAACTCGCGTTTATTGTGGACCTAATAAAGTTATTTCACTTACTCACTCACTTCGAGAAACAAGCGGGCATGTTTGTATACAAAATTTTGAGGCAGTCGTAGTTTACACAAATACACTTGGTAGAATTTTCTAGCATGTTGGGACCCCAAGACCCCTGTCTCGAATATGGCAAACTGTCCGAAGCCTTCAGACGCCCACTCAACAGTTGTTCCCTTTCCGATCTTTGGCTCTAAAGCAAGGTCGACCTGAAGTAGAGGTTGCAGAAGATTACTGCCAATTACTCGTAGGTATGTCCTCCTCATCGATATCACCTTCGTATTTAGCCTCACCGCCATCCAGCGACGATCGCCTCGACTTACCATTCACAATGCACGAACTCGATGCTGCGATTTCTGCGTCCCGACGGTCGTCCGCACCAGGCCCTGACTGAATTACTTATTAGGCTCTATACCACCTCAGCCAGGAAGCAAGGCAGACTCTCTTGTTGTTCTACAACTCTACGTGGGAAACAGTGACAGTCCCAGAGAGTTGGAAGTGCAGCCGCATAGTGGCCTTACTGAAACCAGGCAAGTGTTCACACGAGTTGTCTTCTTATGGACCCATTGCCCTAGCCAGTTGCATCGGTAAGGTGATGGAACGCATGGTGCTGGCAAGATTGGAATGGCTGCTGGAGAATAATGTCGGCTTACCAGATTTTATAAATGGCTTCCGTAGAGGTCGATCATCTATAGACGGTGTTGTAGATCTAGTTTCTTCTGTTGAAAAGGAAAGACAACGTCGGAGATTGGTAGGGGCCATTTTCTTAGATATAAAGGGCGCGTACGATAGCGTCTACCATGAGGCCATTCTTGACGCACTTGAAGACATCGGCGTAGGTGGCCGACTACACGCATGGATAGGGAGCTATCTCAGAGGACGTATCATTTTTATGTCGACATCCGACGGTGACACGGCCAGGCACCTCGTAAGCCGTGGAGTTCCGCAAGGCGCCGTCCTGAGCCCCATGATCTTTAACATAGCACTCATTGGCCTTGAAGCTGAGCTTCCCGACGTTGTCAGAATCAGTGCGTATGCGGACGACATATGCATATGGGCATCTGGAGCAACGCGACCACAACTGCGAGCAAGGCTACAACAAGGCACATCAATAACATCTAAGTACTTACGTCGTCAGGGCCTGGTACTTTCAATAGCAAAATGTGCTGCATTGACATTTACGAAGAAATCAATGTCGCGGTACCCAATATTTGCTCACGGAGCAGTGATTCCTGTGGTCAAGCACCACCGCTATTTAGGGGTCGTCATTGATTGCAACCTGTCCTGGTCAAAGCATGTGACTGTGCTGCGAAACAAACTAATCAGTTTTGTGTATTTTCTTCGTGTTATAGCAGGACTGAGATGGGGCCCTTCGGAGAAAAGTCTTCTGCAGTTATACAAGGCATTGTTTCTGGGCTATATAAGGTACAGCTCACCTGTGCTTTCCAGCATGCGGGCAACGTGCCTTCGTACTTTAGAGAGCCTTCAGGCACGAGCACTGAGAATATTCCTTGGCCTGCCACGGTGCACGTCCACCTCTGGCACTATAGAGGAGTCACGCACATACCCTATACAGGTTTACACGTCCTGTGAGCCTCTTCGAGTGCACCTTCGTCTGCAACCCGACATGCACAGCACCCGTTGTCTTCGATACAAGTGGACCGACCAGGCTGTACCTATTCGCGATGCCTCGATACACATAGGCACATGATCCCTTCAGGCTTTGCACCTGCCGTAATCTCTGCAGTGCCTCCATGGACATTGACTAAACCGCTGGTTTGCCTTCACATACGTGGAATTTTGTATAAGTCGCGTGTTTCTTATATTGCTCTCAAGCAACTCACCTTGGTACATTTAGATGACCGATACAGCGACGCTGTGCACATTTACACCGATGGATCCGTAACTTCATCCGCCTCAGCTGCAGCCTTCGTGATCCCTCAACTCAGTGTTTCCCGACAGTACAAATTAGATCATAGGTCATCTTCGACAGCTGCAGAACTTGTTGCTATACAAGAAGCCATAAAATTTGTGAACCACCAAGCACCGCGTAAATGGACGATTCTGTCTGATTCAAAATCAGCGCTTCAAGCTATCCATTCTTGCTCAAGAAGAGGCCAATTTTACGAGTTAGCGTTAGGAATCGTCGAAGCATTTGACCTAACACACAGGAGCGGTCCCTTGATTACACTCCAATGGATTCCTGGACACTGCGGCCTGGTTTGCAACGAAACAGCCGATAGCGAAGCAAGAGCGGCAATATACAACGCTGCTATGTACGTCAAAGTACCGTACTCGCGAAGTGACGTCAACACATTGTTGAGATCACTCATGCGCGAATGCGGTGCCACTTACTGGTCGCTACCAGATCACCGGAACAAGCACTTGTGGGAAACAGACCCTGGTATGACTTTTCGTCTTCCAGATAAAATCAGCCGAAGACATGCTAATATACTGCACCGAATTCGCCTGGGCGTCGCCTTCACTCGCCACTACACCCACCTAATCGGCCGTGCGGACAGCCCGAATTGTGAACGATGCCAAGTGCGCGAAACGATAGCTCACATATTTTGTGACTGTGCATTATACGTGGCGCAAAGAAAACTGCTAACTGCAACGTTGGCAAGCATTGGACGAACACCATTAAGTGAAAGCCACATATTGTCAGCAATGAACGACCAAACAGTGTCAAAAACTGCTACAAAGGCTGTTCTAGACTTTATAAAAAGCACTGGACTAGAAACAAGACTGTAGGGTAGTATGCTAAGTGGCTACTGTACATACGCATCACCTCTTCTTGTCCCCATCATCACCCTTCATCCCTCTTTCCTTCCCCTTTCCCTTATCCCCTGTGTAGAGTAGCAGGCTAGAGTGAACTAGCTCAG